ACATTTCAGTTTAAGACGAAACTTAATATTTCACATGATCCGAACTAGCCCGTAAATTGGTCCAAAAAGGCCAGGTCCGAATCGGTTGCGTCGGTTTTGCAGTATTAATAAGATGGTTGTTATTCTCTTTACCTGATTCCTAATATTTCTTCTGGAGTTAACCACATCCTTTTCGGAAGCTACTCCGACTTTCTGGCAAGAACCTTTTATCAATCTCGTGCAAAAGACATTCAGCAGAATTCTGGCAAGGATTGTGTCAGCTATTCACAGCAAAATGATGTTCCGACGGTTTATCAATGGAATTTGTTTGATGTCTTCCCGCTCGTACAAGTGGAAGATGGAAGCATTCTTGTATTCCTGGGATATAGTTCTCAGATTCTGCATTGATATGAAGAGTTAAGCAACTTAACTTTCTTTGTCATGTGCTAACCTTAGCCTTCGAGACTTTTTTTTTTTTAAACGTCTGCTGATAAAGAATCTGCTTCGTGTGATTTGCCGTTTGACAGTTTGTGCATTGCTGTCAAAGTTTCAGTATGCTCTGAGAGATTAACTAGTAATATGTTAATTTCCACTTGGGGCAGTCGATCATTTGCCACCTAGCTTTTACAGGAAAATTGACTGAGAATGTTGTTGAGGTTTTCTGCACATCTTTGAAGTATCTTTTCATTGTCAGTGAACAGATTTGCGTTGCAATCATTCTGTTGTAGCTGGCCTGATGACTCTGTCCAGTAGACTGTCTTAAGAGTATCACAAACGTTCTTCATATTATTCCTGTCTGTATCTCATTTGCTCAGCAATGAGTCTTGCAACTCTGAATTTTAATTAAACAATCCTCTTGATGTTGTTGAAGGCAGCCTCCTTAGATAGCGAAGTGCTGTCTTCTTTACAGGCCTTCTGTAATCGTTTTTTCTCATTCAGAAGTTTATCAATGGCAGCATCGTTCTCGTAAAACTTTTTTTTTTTTTAATACGTGCATGTGGTAGGACTGGAGTTTTTCGATGCAATTAAATAAGCAGTCTTTGAACGATGGCCAGTTTCGAGTTTGTATCGAATTTATCCAGTTGGCTGCTTATTTCTTCAACAATGGCCGTTTTTAATTCTCCTGTTTAAATTTGTCGACGTACAGGTTTAGTGGCACATTTTTTTTTTGTTTTGCCTGATGTTGTCTGCTAGGCTGAATTTTCATAGTGAGTTTGGAGACTCTGAGCCTGTAGTCAGTCAGGTAGCATGTTGTATTTGATTGAAGGGATGTATTTGTACAAACACGGACCCGTAGAAGACAAATTGCTTACGAGTCCATTCCAGTTGTGTGCTCCCCTCGTCTCGATCGCGTATGAACAGTGTTCAAATTTAAACAACTTGATTTTGATTAGATGCGCTGACATGTTGCCGCACACATCCAATGAAATTCACAAATCCGAAGCACACAAATATCTGATCGATACCCAAAAGTGTGTGAGTCTATATATATATATATATATATATATATATATATATATATATATATATATATATATATATATATATATATATATATATATATATATATATATATATATATATATGGCTAAGATATGGGAACCATGTCTTACGAAGATAGTCGGGTAGATACATATGTTATGAATTGCACTTTGTTGCTCTTGTTGCTTAGGATACAATGATTCGCCATGACAAATGCTTTTGGATCGCCTATTTAATAATCATTCCTCTGTTTAGATCTTTAGCATAAACTACATGGATTGATATTTATAAGTTATGTACCAAATATCCTCAAGATCTTTTACATTTGTAAAGAATTTAGAGACGACACCGGTTGCAGTGTAAATTTACACAGGAAGCCAGTCAACATGATGTAAACAGAATGGCTAGTACGGTGAGTGTCAACTTTGCAAATAATTTGATTCCTGTACTTTATCCTAAAATCTTTCAATCAATACATGAAACTAGCTAAATCTCCCAAATATTAGTTCTCCGTCTGGATAAATTCTTGAGTATGTTAGTAGTAGGTTAATGCTCACACTCGTCTCGCTACAGTACGTCTTTGATTTTGATTTTACAATGAGCTAAATGAGACCGACAATTATAGGGAACTACGGAGACTCCTGTAACAACTAAGTGTTGGCAGAGCTATGGTTGGCAAAACTACCACGGCGAAGAATGAAGATGATCTATATATCCGATTAGGCCATTGGATAGACAGTGTTAATTGAATACATGGTACTAGTACTAATATTAGTACCCTTAGTCCTACCTCGTGGACAGGGTACTAACATAGGTGTATGTGTGTCAATGGAGCAACCAGGTATGATTTACACGCGGGTCTTTTTTAGCCGAATATAAAAAATTTTGAAAATGTTTTTTAAATATAATGAAACAAATTGAGTAGTCCTCATATTTAATACTGGAATGATCACAAATCATTGTAGAAATAGTGGTAAAATTTCGTTTTCTTTCTTATCCGATTTTTTCATTTTATCATCCGCCATATTAGTTCAGATAATGCCTACTTCCATTCTTATCAATGATATTAAGACCTTGTTTTGAAACAAACAGATCGTAGTAAAAAATATGGCACAGTTTGAGACGAAATTCTGTAGATTAAAAGTAAATATGGTTTACCGGTGACTTTGAAATTCCACCAAGAAGCCATTATTTTCTCAACAAAAACTGTATTCCGCAATTTATGCAAGTATCCATTCTCCATCTTTGTTCGTTATGTCATTCAACAACTAATGCAATAGCGTAGAATATCTATGTAGAGTCTTGCAAGCCTTATGTAGAAAAGGGGTCACAGTGAGAGTCTAGTGTTATTCTGTCATGGTAGATACAGTGTTTGCTTAACTATGCCAATTTATTTTATAGTGCAAAGGCTTCATAAATTCAAAATAAGCCAAACTTTTTTCACAAAAGAATTATACTTATGTAGTAGATTTCTAAACTATTTGTGTTTATGACTTTAGTGAGGATTTTTTTTTGCTCCATTACATGATATGGGATCAGTTCACAGCCTCAACCACAACAAACCAAGTTGAGGCTATGACATTGTAGCTAACATGGTACTAATATTTTGATGTTGGTTATATAATTTAAGTCATATATTGATGTTCCATTACATTAACTAATTTTCTTTATATATATATATATATATATATATATATATATATATATATATATATATATATATATATATATATAAACATTCTGATAAACAAGCATATTCAATGAATGTAGAGTAAGCCAATGGTCCTTCTGCCAACCAGGCTAAGGTACACTACACCCCACCCCCCGAGATAATGCCACGGCAAAGTATATCTCTGCTTTTTTTCCTGACATTACTAGTAGTGGAAATGTAAAAAAAAATGGAAATCTTTTTAGTTGAAAATTATATGCCAAAGTGTTATGATAATGTGGGTCTTGAAGTTGGCAAATGGTGAATAAGTAAATGAGAAACACTAACTTTGAAGATGGTATATATGTTTTTGTTCTTGGCTCAGTATGAAAATGCATTTAATTTCCAGTTTAAAAGTCAGATGACAGCGGGGAAACAATCTATATACAGATGCCATGTAAATTCCAGGTTATGCAAGGGAAGTTACTGTGATAACGTGGTAATACTCCAAAAATGATTGCATTTACTTAGTCTAATGTTGGGAACTTGATGTACCACCATGTCGGCCAAATCAGTGCCTCGGATAATTATGCTTTATCCGCAATGACATGAATGACATTCCTGTAGACATTGGAAACACATGCTGTTTTTGGTCAAATATCCAATTTGTTTCAAGAATGAATGATCATCCTTTTATGAAGGAAGTGATATTCATAAAGTGTACAAAAATATCCCACATTTCTACCCTAATTGCACATGAAGGTGATTCAAAATGTCAGCATGAAGATCCACTCCATGACAATCTTGAACTTGTAACCCAGAAAATCCTATTTACTATGTATCTTTTAGAATCATAAAATAAATGCATTATATAAAAGATGGAAATGTATACCTTAAAACAATACTGCATTTTAATCAAAGTTTCTGATTTTGCAGTTTTATCATCTGCTATACAGCATGTCAACATGCTGCTAGAATGGGATTCTCAAGAAATTCTCAGCATATAGTTTGTTTCTAAATTCTTTAGTAATATTTTTTCCCATAAATGAGAAGTTTTTAACACATTGCATCCTATATTCCTTGTTGCTTCTCTTCAACATATTAGCTAGTTTTTTTTATAAAATGCTAAATTTTACTAATTTTTTTACATTCTCAGTTTGGTTTGTTTATCTCTTGCTATTTATTGGCATTATGTTGAATTTTGTAAAACCAGATATAAACCTGACTTAATTACTTGATCAAAATTTTAACAGAAACAGTCCAAAGTAATATATTTCATTTCCATAGCCCGGATAGTAAAACATTACATCTTTTCAAAGCTATGCACTGAATCAGCAGACAAATCATTTGTCACTAAAACACGGGTGGTATCCGGTGTGTCCAAGATTAATATTTTTTTGAACAGAATATTCTGGTGATAATTGCCTTTTTCAAATGGTAAGCATTGCAGTATTTTATTTTTGTCAATCGGTCAAATTTGGCATATGTTTTGCTTCAGTATTGGTGATGGAAACCTTAGGTGCGCAGAAATGCCTGACAGCATTGTGCATGTGTTGCACAAAGTGTAGATCCGCTTGAAAACTGGATGCTATTTCCATGGCACTCATTCTACCACCAGTGCTCCAACAGAAACTTATGGGAGAGAATTGAAGAATTGCTTCTGTAGCCACCTGTGACAGGTTGCGAGGGTAGGGGAAAAGCACTGGGATTGTTGCTGAGAATGTACTATGAACATGGGCACAATTAAGTACATGTCAACCTCAAACTGTTTAAATAACTGTGTTCCAATGAAAAGTAATAAATCTTGCACAAGAAAGTCTTCAAGTCAACATCTATCAGTCGCAAAAGTCACCAGAAACCAATAAACATCCATACTTCACATTTTGATGACTGCTCTGATGGTGGCCTAGTGGTTAGAGAATCAGCCTTGGATGTGGGAGGTCACTGGTTTGAACCCTGGCCAAGCAATACCAAAGACATACAAAAATGGTACTGACAGCTGCCTCGCTTGGCATTCATCATTAATAGATTAGTGTTAGGCCTGGTTCAACCTGGTACATATCAGGATAACATGACTGGCTGGATCATCATGCTACATGTCAATGCTACATGTCAATGCTACCTGTCAGTGGCATGATGCCCAAGTTCTAGACATCCCTATAAACTGCCTCACTACAGATATTGTAGTAAAATGACTTAAAAATTATTAAAGCTACATTAAAAATCTAAATCACACATACAAACACATTTTGACTCTTACTTGCCACTTTAAATATGATCTCAGTCTCATGGTTCTTGACAAACATGGTAATCAACTAATTCTTACATAAAATCAATATGATGTATCAGAAAACAAACTGGTTAACTGTTTTGTTACAGTGATAGTGATTTTAAGAAGGTAAAGATTCTGTTTGAGAACATGGGGATGGTCATTTTTGGAAACAGTGATAATCATGGGTGTATTTTTAAAATGATGTACTTGTTAGCAGTCATAACTTTACTGAAATGAACTGGTGATGCAGAACTAGTAACTTATGGTTATGTAATGTATATAAGTACACAAATGGTGTCTGTTTACAGGTGCAGAAAAATCCAAATATCATGATAAAATAGTAACCTAAAAGTGTAGTCATTTTTGATTGTATTACTACTTACATTACAGTATGGTAATTACAAATCAGTTGAAAGGCAGGTGTGTGAGTGTTTTCAGTAATTTTGCATTTTTTGATGATAATGATGTGAACTACATAAGGTAAAATTATTTGTTAATTAACTGGTTCATCAAAAAGCCTAAGACTCTACCAAAATAGTCTTAATGAATCAGGATATATGCATACAATTAAATAAAAGCAACAACAACCACAACAAAAAATGAGTATTGTTAGCTGTTGTTGACAAATTAATCTTGCATCATTTAATTATCTAATGAGAATGGAGTTCACTCCCTTGTTGGTGATAGCCAATGGAAAGAAATCTTCTGGTTTTCATACAGGCCAGGCAGCAGATAAAATATTTAAGTAAATAACTCTTGCTTGAAAAAAAATCACAGAGAATTATAATTAATGTTTATATTATTGTTAATTTAATGAAATATTTGAGTTTCTTGACATTCTTTCTCTCAAACTTATGTTACACAAGGCAAAAATAATGTGTTTCTTATTGTCCTGGCTTTAAAATTAGGATAGGCAGGTATTTTTTTTATTAATGTTTTAACTTTTTTAATAGTTTTTAAGACATTTATGTGTTTAGTGTGATTTGTGTTTTTTTACAAGGGAAAATTTTCTAGGGATGGCAGTGAGAAACTGGTAAATTGAGCTTACTGAAAACATTTTTCATCTGATGACACAAGTATAAAAAATTATGGAAACAACCAATTGTTTATACTGTAAGTCAAAAAGCTGTACACTTAGTAAGTCAAAATCACAGGAATGAACACCTGGTTGGTCCAGGATATGTATGGCTCAATGAAATAAATTGAGCAGGGCCCCGAGTGGCCAAGTGGTCTAAAGCGAGTGGCCGAGTGGTCTAAAGCGCGCTGTCCATTACGCTGTCCATTATGGATCACTGCCATCTCACCTCTGTCTGCGTGTGTTAGTCTAGGATTCATCGAATGTGGATATGTGAGAAAGCTTGCCAGTAGCTTCTCGTGGGTCGGTGGTTCTTTCCGGTGATTTCCCGGTTTCTTCCTCCACCATTAATACTGGCCGCCATGAATAGCCTATTGTGTGCTGGAAAATGGCGTTAAGCAAAACAACAACAACAACAACATAAATTGAGCATTCAGTTAATTTGCTGTGCATTTGGTATTCATTTATCCATATGTAACAGAACACTCTTATTAAGTACTAAGAATGAGATGCACAAACTATTTCATCGCTGTGGGGGACTAGATAATCAGCTTAAAAGCATTTCTTGGATTTTTAATTTTAAATTTTTTTTAGGGTATTTAAGATTAAATTCAAAGAATTCTGTTAATTTTGAGAAAAGAGTATAAGCTATAAAATATAATTTAAGTTGTCTTGATTTTTTTTCTTTCAAGAGTTGATTTAATTAGTTGCTCCCATAAATAGTTAATTAACTGTAACTGGAACAAAATTTAATAACTTATGTGCAGTTTTGTATGCTGTTATAAATTAATGGATTCACAATATAAAATAAGATTATTGAAGAACATGGGTCAAAGTGTTACCTTTTTGATCATCATGGCAACTAAGTGTTGGCATGATAAATGTTGAAAACAGTCTTCAAAATTCTTCATAATCAATTTCAGTCCTATTAATGTACATATTTGCTGATAAGATGATTCCAACTGCAAAATACACAGACTTATATCTGGTGTTGCATAATGTGCCGACAGATCTTGGTCTGTGCAGTCTGTTAGGAATGATCAGTAGAACAAACAGCATAGACCCTGATCTGCATGTGCATCATTCTTTGGCAGTTCAGGATCTTTGTTTTTTGCAGTTCAACTCAACTGATAAGTGAGTATATATGGAAATTGATTATTTTGAGCATCCATTAGACCAGCACAGATATATTTCATTTGATCAAGTGTGCAATAATATTGTTATTCACCATGTGAACAAAGTTAAATCTGCAAATGTCTGTATAATGCCATGAAAGACAGGAACTCTTCCAACTTTTTATAAAAACTGTTTCCTAGTTACCTACATTTAAAGCATCAGCAAAAGAAGACTATGACAGCAAAATATCAATTGAAGCAAACTTTTGCTTTCTGTATCATAACTGTTGTGCATAAATATGATATTAGTGCAGTATACACATAAAACATCTGGCTAAAATATCCATGTTTAACATTTTTGTTTAATGGGAGGCCATGAATTACTAGATTTTCAAAGTGAAATAAATGTAATAATTTACTGAATATTATATTTTCAGTGATGTGTTTATAACATTTTAACCAAGAAAGCTTTAGCTACATTTTTAGATGCTTGCATGGTGTAGTGGTAAGTATGGCCACCTTGCATGCAAATGAACCAGTTTCAGATCCAATAATGTGCATATACCTTTTTTGATTTCATTTTTAATGCACAGTTTTGACTAGAATTAGGCAGGAAAATTATGGTACTATTGATATTTTCAGTTGAATATAGGCAATATGTAGCAGAACATAAACAGTATTCTGCTAATATGACGGAAAGAGATACAGTAATATTTCTGCTGTCAATCTCTTGTATGTATTGCTAGCTGAAAAATTTTTAGTATAAAATGAAAAAAAAATTTGCTTGCTCTGAGGAGTAGAGGAGTAACCTCACACACACACACACACACACACACACACACACACACACACACACACACACACACACACAAACCACACACACACATATACCACACACGCACACACACTAACACACATACACCACACACGCACACACACTAACACACATACATAAATAAAGATGATATGTTGCTATACTGTCATGTAATGCAAAGTTCTGTGTAATTTACAAGTTGGCCCCAAATTAGTTTATATATGTCTGCCATTTTCTTCTGGTGATGATGTTCATTTGCTTCTGGCATACAGATGATATTTCTTTTACCTGTAACCTGTAATTAGCAATTCTGACATCTAATTCTTGATCATATTGTTTTAACTTTTAATATATATGCTCATTTACATATGTAGCTGTAAATTGCAAATAGTATTACTGGGAGATTTTACCTGTCACATCAATTCTAATAGTTTCAAAAAGAGTGTAAGCAACATAAACAACATAGGTTGTTGAGTGAGAATCTTTCTTGAACCAGTTTCAGTGAAGTGACTGCATCATGTTACGTGTTGAGTAAGCTAATTGTACCGTATTCAGTCTTTTTTCATTTGTTTCTACCTCGGAAAAATTTAAGATTTTTTTCAGATTGCTTGTTTTTTATAAATACCAATTTTGATTTTAATGCATCAAAAAGTTTTTATATCTAGGGTAACCTAATTTGTTTCAACAGATTATTGACTTTGTATGTTTGCACTACAAACATAAAACATGTGATTTACACATGTAGACCTTAGGCTTTTTCAGATTGATATAGATAGCACAGGTTATTAGTGAGATTTCTCTCATAAGCAATAAAAACAGGAATACTAAAATTCGCACTAGTCTAGACCAGCTTGTTTCCTTGGAAACAGAATCCTTTTATGGACTTGTTCTAACAAAGTACAAAGACACTCCTTGCATAATTTGTTGCATCTATGTCTGTGTTAGGACATGACACTTGCAGTATGTACCTATTATGCAACATAATTTGCTGTATATATATCAGTGTGTACCTGGCAGTTACTCTGTGTGTGTGTGTGTGTGTGTGTGTGTGTGTGTGTGCGATTTGGATTTTTAATGTAGCTTTCACAATTTTTATTTTATTTTTATTTCTGAGTTCCTTGCAATGCCATACTGTATTTTGGCAAATCATAAAACTTTAATTTTAACAACATGACCACTTCATTTAAAAGGAAACACTTTGGCAATTGTATAACCAGGAAAAAAACAAAATGGTGGTGGTTGGTGGTTTCAACAGTTTTGGTTGATATTTGGTAATATGAAAACACAAAAGTTTTCTGTAAAAATATATTCTGTTTGGTCCCAGGCCCAAAACGGGAAGTGGGGGGGGGAAGAGGATCAATTTTATAGATCAGAATCAGTAAGCACTGCCATTTCATATTTATGCACTTCTATCTTCCCTTTGACCCTCAAAGTAAGGTCAAGATGATTTCTGAAAGAAAACATGTATTTGCATCAGGCAGGCTAACAAACAATACATGCCAATTAAATTACTTGAAAAAAAAATTGCATTATTGGTTGCCAGTTTAAATTTTGTCATGTCATTTCTCATGCTTGTCAGTTAGTTGCCCTATAAAATGAAAGGTCAAAGTTTTTGCTTTTACTGGTTGTTTGGTCATAGAACAAAAAGATCAGAGGTGTGAAGGTTGCATTAAGTGAATGTTTGCTTTTGTT